ATTGTACGATAACACTGATAAGTAGTAGCCCTTACTTGCTGGTTGCATCATCTAATTCGTTGAAATAAAACATTTCTGGCCCGATATGTGTAGTTGATCTTACATAGCTTTCATGGCAAGTTCGTCCCAGTTCTTCAGCAAGTCTCATAGTGGACTTCTTAAATGAAATGCATATTAAAATCAAAAGACGGGTTATTCAAGCAACCTTTTCCTTGCATGCAAGTAAAACAAACATAAATTGTATTTGTAGTTTTGCGTATCGAAAGAGTTATTGTAAGACACGATGAGTAGGAGTTGCACTGAAGACGAGCAAAATAAAATTATCAGTGCTGTTTCTGAATCTGATGATGCTTGTTTAATTTAAGTCTCAAGTTGGACTGCTGCAGAGAAATATTCGACCATGAAGACCTTTTAGTAAGGTGCCATGACCTATGAGTGAGTGCATCTAAATCATAAAAGGCTTTTGCTAAATTCATTGTTACACCTGAAAGAAAGAGGAAGAGGATTATTGCGAAGCTTGGGTAAAAAGTCTTTCGATAAAATTGTGCTGTTTTTTTAGTTCCTGTGCTTAGCGCACTAATCTGTTGCTCGAGAATGTAGCTTCATGATTCAAATATTTCTTGTAGGTGCTGTTGTATCAGTTCGACCCGAAAAATTTCTCGTCTTTTCAAGATAGCAACAATAGTGGAGCAATTTTCGTAACTTCGCATCTTTTCAAAGATGCGGAAGGATAGAGAAATATCAACGAACTAATTTGCGAAAGATAGCTACTCAAAATTTACATAGTCGATATTGCGTTCGAGTAGGATAGAGTAACCTCAGGATATGCTAGAAAAGTCATTGGTATTTGTTGGAGAGCAGTCACCAAAACAGCTATGAGCTCGTATCAACTCTTGCAAGCCTGGCAAGAATAGTGACTTTTGGAATCACCTCTCAAGACAAGAATTAATGTGATTACGATGACCTATCATAGTTGAAGTTTACAAACTTTGCAGTGTTAATAGTATAAAGGTTCGAAACCATACAGAATCACCGCTAGTTCTTGGGTTTTTCCGAACTTTCATGAGAAGAGGAGCGATATTTTCCTTTCAAATTTAGGTCCATTTCTTTTCCAAACAGATAAAATTCCCTTCACTTCCAATATTCAAAGCAGATTCAGGGAAAAGATTCAAATCCAATTCATTGCAACTCACTCGATCGACTTCTGCTTTTTCGTTGACCGCCTGCAGTGCGAACATTCCCACTGAGAAACAAGCCAGGTGTCCCATTTTGTGCTGAGGTAGGCCATTGCTGAGCTCAGCGGTGTACGTAAGCCCAGATTTCGATTTGAATATCATCCTTAACAAAATGTATGACAACCTAACGAACTTCTTTTGTCCCAAACATTCATGTTTACAAATTAAAAGACTTTTCTCTTCTGTGTTATATGATAAAGCTTATTTTTCAACATAGTAAGGAGAAGGAGGACAAATTGGAAGAGTTTCTGCAGAGGCAGTCACTGTTATAGAAACACTTACTGTTCTTGAATAGCTTTACTGGCATCCCAGAACATCCTCCGTGATTGCTCGTTTTTCTTCCCCGATTGTAGCCAAGACTTGATGAGGTACTCATAAAATGAATCTCCCAGCGCTCCCAAAGATCTAGAAAAAATGCTTTGAGAAGATTTTATGAAATTCCGTTGTCACGCAAACGATAAAGATCTGCGCTTACATGTGGTACGGTTTTGTCCATTTTCCAGTATCCGAATCAATGTAATTGGGATATAACCCGTTTACTTTTTCCAATTGATCAAGAACATCACGGATCTTCTTCACCTTCTTTGTGAATATTGGAGCTTTCGAAATTTGGCTAAGATAAGTGAATTCAAGATGCAAGCTCCCCAACTCAGCAAGAATAGATGAGCTGAAAACAAAGGATACCATTAATGTAGACTGCGAATTAGCCGCTGCCTCAAAAAAGTTCCTCGAAAAAGACTTTTTTGCTTACAGCTTGCCGACCTTACCCTCCATTAGCCCAATGGTAGTTCGAAGCCGCCTTAGTTTTCATATTGAGGTTACTCTTGGGAATTCCTGAAGGCGTCTTGAAAGCCGGCAGTAGGGCTTCTCCCACACTCCTCGCTTTACTGCTAAAATGAACGAAATTCAGGTAACGTTATAAGTTTAAGTAGTTTTAATAAGAATTGTGATTTGTGAG